ACTTGTATATAAATTTACTAATTTAATAAAGAGATTAAGCGTGACAGTGTCGAATTGATATTTTGTATTAAATAAAGACAGTTTAAGTATGATACAAACACTTTTATAATAGCAATTCAAGACTTCCATATGCTCGGAAATTCTCTATCTTCCTGAATTCTTTTTATATAGTTTATGTAAAAAATATGACTTATTTACTAATATATTATAGAGATAATTTCTTTTTTGTTATCATCATATATAAAAATGTAATTTTATAAAAAACAAAAAGACATTGATATATCGATATTTAGTTATTTTGTATAAAAATTGCAAATAAAGCAACAGCATTATTGCGACAATGAAGAAGTAGATGTTCAGAGTTTCTTTATCAACGCGATATACTGTAGATATTGCAAATGAGACTTTTCGGTTGACATTTTATGCACAACAAAGAGTCCCTCTTGATCGCAGCATGCCGACATATATCATTAAATGATAATTTTACTTCGATCCTTATACAAAATTCTCGCAATTCTACGGATCACCCAAGATTCTTCTCTTCACTTTCGCCTCACAACGAATTCTTTTTGCCGCGTCGTTTCGTAGCGTCAGCGAGAACAAACATATCACCACAAAAGTCAAAACACACGACGAGTTTGCTATCTTTATATCAAACGTTTAATTGGATACTGTACCGTCGAGAATGCGCTAACACGAGTACATTATTCTATAAATTTTATAGAATATATCTGCGTAAGCTTATTCCGCGTCGTTTGACATCAAATTACCATATGTACAAACGTCACTATCACCGAATTGAAAATGCCAAAGCGTGTTATATACGTGATACAGATACAATGGTGTGTGCTAAACAATACTTTTGTATACACATAATTTCATTTAAGTTATATAGTAAATTTAAATTGGACTTTGTTTAAATAAAATTTTGATTTTACAGTAAGTAAAAAATATATTGAAAAATGTAATATATAAGCAAAATATTAAAGTAAATGTAATTTAAACGAAAAATGTCAAAAATATCAAGAACTTTAAGTGTAAAATCGAATTAAAATTTTTGAAATTCTATTAGCAATATTAACATATTGAATATTAAAAGATTTTATAGAATATATATATCAATTCCAAGTTAGATTAAAATTCTAAACTAGAAGAAACGATAACAGTTATGGAACGATTAAATTCCTGTAGTTATAAGAATTTATCAACTACGAAAAATTTACAAAAAAATCATTTGTTTTCAAAAGTTGGAGTTAATTTGAACCTCCAGATAATATAGAAAATACCTGATACCTTTTATGTTAGATTAAACTGTGTTTATCAATTCTTTTGTGACACACATTTCGCATGCACCCTTGTTTTATTGTTAAAAAGATTCTCTTTGCCTTTTGTTTCTTTGTCTTGTCTTAAAAATATTAAGAGGCTAATCGAGAAGAAGAAAGAAATGAGATGGAAAACGCAAATATATAAATCTCCGTAACAGCTTTATAGGACGGAGCCTATTCTCGCATTAAATCGCGCGAATAATAATTTGCTCCCGGACAAAATTTACGGCACAAACGTATGTGTTGGTGATTTTTAATGGCACAGAGACACGTGTGTGAATTTTCTGTGACTCTCCTTATTTCGAACCAAAGCCGCAAAGCGGAAAAAAGATGGATGTGATAAAATACAACATAAATTTCTTGGTCTCAGCATCACGGTTTTTCGCATACTTTTTCCATTGTTTCACTTGGTCTCGCTTTGTTTATTCTTTCAATCTTTCACTGAGTTGACCGTTTCTTTCTCATTTTAATAGCATGTATTATATGGGTGCGTCTGCGGCCATGTCTGCGATTATGTCTACCAACAGAACTCGGAGCGAAATACTTCTCTCCGCATCCAAGTTTTATTAATTCTTGGAAGTGACTAGATCATTTGAGACCTGATAGATTGACGTAATTTTCAAAGATTATTTGTATATTCCTTTCACATCGTAAAAAAGCTACGTGTATAAATTCGAATTTATAAACTGCGGCTTTTTATTGCTATTTTATGAACTACATGTATTTATAGGCGAAGTAATTAAGTCTGATTACCTAATAAATTCTATTAAATAGAATAAGGATAAAAAATGATTCAATTTTTGGAGAAACACATCTGTCGAGAGTTAAAAGCGATCATTGAGAACATGAGTCTCCATCTCTTTACACATCTAACATCTAAACTATAAGTTAAGTAATATAATATTAGAAATTTTTTCTTGTTCGTTTTATCGATCATCCTTGACATCTGACGTAAAAGCTAGATTCGCACAATGAACGGGCTGCGGCCATTTCGGAATCAACATGTTTGAGGTATTCTAGTGATATAAATAAAATAATGGTTTTGTATTAGATGAGTGCAAACATTTGTGGTCGATTTATTATTTAAAGTTCGAACAGTTATAACTTAGTTAAAAACGAACAAAATCTAAATTTAAGAAAAATTTTAAAGCTTAAAATCTTCAGTTTCGAAAGGTTACTTATATGTTTTTTTTAGTTTCTGTGAATTTGGTCATTTTTATATATAGAAAACTACAAGCTGGGCACACATAATGGGAAATTTTCTTCTCGCTTTATGGATTTATTAAATATTATTTAAAAAGTTATTAAAAAAATTTTGCCACAAATTTTTACTTTCTAATGTAAAAACTTAAATTCTTTTTATAAAATTATTTTAAAGGTATTTCTAAGATTTTTTGTTACTAAGTTATTACGGATCAAATAAAGGAACATGATTTTTATTGCTCTTAACTCTGTCAAAAATTGTTTCAATTAAAGAAAAAAACAGATTCTTAAAACTAAAAAACTTTGCTCGATCGAATAGTATAATATAATAATTGTCAATTTGAGTAAAATATTGTGTTTTTAACTTACCTAAGAAAAATTTTTTAAATTAGATATGAACTTTTACATTCATCCATTGTACATTTTTCACGAACAAAATAGTATAATAATTTATAAAATATTTATTTATTTTACAGTTAATATATCGGGGCATTATTTATTATAGATATCCATCTTCGCACTTGATCATATCCAGTATATGGTTTTATAAATTCTATATGATTTTACATTGTATATCAGGGAGAATAGGAGAAAATCGCAAGAAAACTTGAGGTCTGTAGAGAAGAGAGAAAAGGTAAACATATTGGTTGATGATATGTAATTTATTGAAGAGCCGATCTATCGCGCATATAAAGCCAAATTCGATTAGTTAGCCTGTTGGAAAACGTTAGTATAGCATGCATGGCACGACTTCATCGCGTCTTGTTTAGTCGATGTTCAAAATGACGACATCACTGTTCTATTCTTGGTAGCGTGGACGCAGCGATATCTTTAGAGCGACCATCGGTACAGTCCGTTTCCGAGCTTTCCTTCCTTCGCGGCGAAAACGTGCCAGTTGACGAGAGAAGGCAAGATGATTTATTTCGACTAAATCAGACCACACTGCTAGCCTTCCACATTTCCGAGGGTATATGGCGTTCTTATAATTTCATTCTGCCATGTTATTACCATAGTTAATTCGAAATATCGATAAACGCTTTCCGAAACACATTGAAACATCTTTATGGCACGGCTATGTACATGATAGAAATGCGATTCAAATTTAAAATTTCAGAAATATCGATTTAAAAAAATCACTGATTTATCAATTTACGCTCTTATATTTTTATTTATTTGCAATCTTGGATAAGATTTCAGTTGGTATCAACGGGGAATTTTACGCACAATTTTCATTGTCGAATAAGCTAATTAAGAATTTAGTTTGGAAAGAAATTTTGTTTGATTTACTAAAGAACTAAACAAGTTACAAAAACTCATAAAATTTGTATAATAATAATTCTGTACACAAAGGAGGTATAGATTTAATAGATATCTTAGAAAAACTCCATAAAAACGACTCCATACTTTAATGAGAATTAAATTATAATCAAATTGGATAAAATTGTAATGTACGGTAGTTTTTTTTTTATATTGTTCAAAAATGTAAATGAATTTCGATTTGTGAAAATAAAAACAGCTTTTAATATACAGCTATTCAAAGTCTGCAAATTAAAATTCATTATTTTAAGTTATTTTAACATTGTTTTTGCAAGAAAAGCATGCAATATTATAAAAATATTATCAAATTTATACTAACTTATATACATATTTCATACACACACACACACACACACACACACACACACACATACACACACACACAATCACATATAATTATTACAGTGTTTTTGCAAACTTGGCACAAATCAGCTCAAACGTAGCACAACACAGCACAATAAAGAAAGATACAATATTTGGAAAATGCGGATCTAATAAATACTTAAATTTAATGTTATTGAACTACTATTTGCGGCACAAAGAAGGAAAATACGTAGCGCAATACGACGATTAAGAAAAATTCAAAAAGTGCGAATCAGTGCCGAGCAGTAATTATTTGTGTGATTTATATATGTGAAAGTGAGTGAACATAAATATGGTGATGTCCAGCGCTGTTTTCAAACCCGGAGGAGAAGTCAACAATCTACTTATAGAAATCTGTGGGTATAATATAAGGCACATATTATGGAATTATTTGGAATTGATTGTGATGGGAATTATTTGCTTTGGCTCATTGCCCCTTTATTAATATTTATAATTATTTAATTATTCTTTAGATTTTTATTGCATTTTCTAGAAAAAATAAATATAACTTAAAATAATTTTGATCAAAATTTACTCAGAATAATTCCACATTACGTGCCCTGAAGATTGTATATTTCCATAAATTAGAAACGAAAAAATTTGAAGAACGTTTTATCGGCAAATCGATTATATATATGTCAATCTATATCGAGGTTAAATCATCAAAAATTTTATTTAAAAGTATATGAAAATTTAAAGTAAAAACATGTAATCGTAAAACACAAATTATGCATACAAATATAGAAACACATGATGAAAATTATAATATTACAATAAATTATCGCTTTAAAATGTTGTTAACATTTTAAATTCAAATTGGCAGGTAAATGGAGATTAAAAATTGTTTATATATGCATATATATATCAATATTTAATTAATATTGTATAATTAATATAGATAATAATTAATATCATGTTTGTGAACGTTGATAGTATTAGAAAGATCAGCAGAAGTACATGATAACAATGGCTTAAAATCTTCAAAACATCTTCGTAAAGCTTTCATCATTTAGGAACTTTCATAGTTCAGGAATTTCCATCCAAAAATTAAATCATGAATAAAATAAATCAGTACACTTCGACTTATCAAAGAGACTATACCTGGCCCTACGTGTCGTCCATATGTCGTATTCAACCTCCAATTAAACCAATTATCGTTAAAGATTGCATTTGTTCTGATTCACGACGAGAACGAAAAGAATTATGGAATGGAGATCTTGAGAAATATTCTGAGTGGAGTCGAATGGGTCCTATGGGACGACTCCTGGAGCCAAAGATTCACACTAAAATTGCACGGGTTCCCAAGGCAGATGTAACGCGATTAGATCAGCTAACGAGTATTTGCGTGAGAACAAAAATATTTGAACCTTAACTAACTTGTTTAACATAATTAATTTTTTATGATACTAGAGTAAAAGATTTATTTTACGAATGTACGTAGTTCATATATCATTCACGTTCTTGGCTTTAATTTATATATATAGTCCGGATTATCCCAACATTTGCCGATTGAATTAGCTTTACACAAATAATACTGTAGAATTAATTGTAGATTGTAAAGATACAAGATTGTATCTTTACAATTTTATACATAAGCAGCGTTCTGTTTAGATAATTTAAAATTATCTAAGTAGAGATAAAATAAATTATACATAAATATATTTCAAGTAAGTAAGATAAAGATGATTTTATTTTAAATTTATCTAGATAAAAGATGAAATTATAATTTGTTTTATCTAGATATAGTTTTAAAATAATATCGTTTTTATTTAAGCAAAATAATTTATGATACATATTGAAACAAATTCATTTACATACTTAAAAAAATGTATTCATTTAAAATATAAATCTATTTCTATCTATGCATGGAACAATATATATAGCTATTAATTAAAATATAAATCTATATTTCTTCAATCGGCGCCGTTCTTTAGACAGGCGCATGTCAGTGAGCCGCGCGCTTGATAGTATATGTGAGCATACAGTGACATGCGCCTGTTTAAAGGACAGCTTCGATTGCATTAGTTATATTTGATAATTGCTGCTTCATTGAGCATTGTAGAAAAAAAATTGCTCAAGACATTTCGATTCAACTTTTGATCAAGAATAACGATTTATGAGCCTTTTTTATGTTACTCTCTATATAATTTCTACTTGTATATATATTATGACAAATTTGTTTTGAAAAATTAGTATAATATTGATATACGAAGAAGCTTAATTTAAATGTCAATAATATAATAAATTAAAATTAATGTGATACATACAATGGATTAAATTCTAAATTTAATTTTTGAAGCTTAAAGAAGGATATCCTGGTTTGTACGAGGCGTTAGAGAAATCATTTCCAAAAGTACCGATTACGCGGATGGATATTGATCTTATGAAAACGACGTATCAAAAAGATTACAGTGATCCCGGTGAGTATGATAAAAATATTGCGGAATAAACCGTAAGTGTGACGTATTATACGTGTTCATCATTTGTTTTTGTATTATTAATGATGTTGCTTGAAGAAATTTTAATTTTCTTAGCAGCTGCACGTATGACACAAGAAGACATGGCGTTGGCAGCCCTCAATGATCAACGCCTACAATGTATGCCAACAAAAATAATCATAAAAACTGATTGCCCGGCGTATTGTCAACTTTCTTCCTCAATATATAATGGAAATGCGAACGTTTGGAAACGCGATCGTAAACAGAAAAACGGATTGAAACGCGAAAAGAAATGTGAAATTGTCGAGAGAAGACAAATGTCACTGCCATCCTGGAGATCAGAGTATCAAGATAGTATCAATAAAATCGGTCACGCTATTATGAGAGCTAAATTACATCAGGCAAAGAAGAAAGTTTTACCAATTCATTATCAATATTGTAATACATTCAGCTAAACGTATTAAAAAACCTAACAGTCAAATTATATATATATGAAAGTCAATTTTTTTATAATATAGGAAATTAAAGCTTATAAATGTGTATGAGAATAATAATCCATATCTTTATCGCTTTTTAAACGAATAAAATATTTTGGAAGATTTTTTTATATTTAAAAAAGAAAAAGAAGAGTAGATGGACAGTAAAAGATAATTTAACTTCACTACAGATTGCACTAGTTCAAGAAATGTATATACACTGAAGTATCTTTTATTCTCGACATGACATCAGCGATATACACTGTTTCTTATTCCAATGCAACTGATTTTAATTTACTGAGTATTATCCTTGTTAAACAAGAAAAAGAATATCATAATATCATACCTTTTGGATACGTTTCGAAACTCGACTGTCAATTCCGAGTATTTTTTATCTTTGTTCATTCAGTGAACAACAAGGATAACATAATATTTGAATTGACAGAGTTGAGTTTTGGAACGCATCCCCCTGGGGAGTACTTTGAAAGCAATCTGAATGCTCCCCAGGGGATCAATTGTGTATTTTGAAATGAGGTGAAAATTACAAAAGTGAGTAAATTCATTAGGTATTGATTAATGAAATTATAAGTATTCTACAACTAATATAATGAAATAAGTATTCTAGTTAAAATTTTCTTTTTTATAATTTTTTCATTTCATTTTGAGATACACAATCAACATTCAGACTTGATGAGTGTAAACCATAATATAGACATAAATTAAGCCTGGTGTTGCTTGCACTTTTTTCACTCAACATCTTTGCATTCTCCTTTTCTCTATGCTCAAGTATATATCTATCTTATTAAAAATTTTTGGGGATTTCAAGCAAACAGACCTAGAGTTAATGTAATTTATAGAAGTAAATAGTTCTAGTTGCAATATATTCTCCTAAAAAAACAAAAAAGACTTAAGGGCGACTGTTACCAACGCCGATTAACTTAATCGTCGATTAAGTTAATCGGCGTTGGTAACAGTCGCCCTAAATATAAGAAAAAAATGCGATTTTCAAATTTTATTTGTATTTGTAAAAAAAATATTACTCAATACAGTTGATTAGCTGTCTGATCACGAATTTTAGACTAACTAGCGTGGATAATGTAGAGATTGACCTTAAGAATTAATTATACACATAATATAGAGATGGTGCCACATGGAGAATGTAATAATATGTATAAACCTAAATAATGTATTATATTGTATAATAACAAGATAAAATATCTCACATATAATACATGCTTAATTCTGGTTAGTGCATTAAACACTGTAAAGAATACACTACCAAAAAAATCCACAAATATACAGGATGCGTTATCTACAACGAAATATTAAAATATATAAAAAATTGAACCTAGTAGGCAAAATAAATGTTTCAAACAAAAGTTGGAGACAAATAATGATGGAATTAATTTTCAAAAAAATTTTTTCAAGTTTGCATAAAAGTTATCTTTATTTTTTTTAATAGAATATATAATTTTTTTACATATAAAATAATTTCTCTAATTTCTATATAAAAGTATTGAGGTACGGATTTAAATACACACATTAATAATTAACAAAATAATTTTATTTTACAAAATAAATTTAATATTTCGTATCAGTATGTGTGCTAAAATAAGGTATAAAATCTAGTAAATTATTCATTTTTCTTGTATTTTAAAACTTCTGTATGCAGAATAATTAGAGAATGCTTAATGATCCAACATGTTAAATGTAAATATACTATTAATTTTAAAATCTATTATCATTCTTTAAGATAAGAAAATGAATTTTTGTAAAACGTTCAAATAACTAGTTTATTATTTTTGGAAGGTTTCCAAATTTTCCTGAATAAATAAGTTTCTTTTTATAATAAATATATTTTTAAAATGATAAATGCATAGGTTTAAAGGTGTCCGATCTAAAATTGATCACACACATTTTTAGACTCCTTCTTTTTACATAAATATTATAATATATTATGTCTTACAACATATTGTAGTATATATGTATAATATGGCATATATGATGTTGTAAAAAAGTATATGTAAAACTCGACATGTACTATATAATAAAAAATTTTTAATGGTAATTTAATGGAATATTAGCAGTATCAAATTTGTCGTAATAATTAATAACAATTTGCAATTAAATTCCACAAGATATCATATAATGAAAATGTTTAAAAAATTTTTCGCTTTCATTCTTGACATGATCTTAAAAAGTTTACTGCATCGTATGTAATTATCTACGTATAATCTTCTTGGATAATAAAAATACAGAATCAACAAGCCATCGATGGAGCGTTATGAAAGGGCTAAATATAAATCAAGGATTTACAAGCCAAGGATTCGAAGAGAAAGTCTTTTTGCCACACGTGAGAAAATTTATAATTTAAGATAATATTAGTTATTATCGATTAAAGTACGGACATTGATTCAAATACATTTTCTTTCCTGTATATTTTGTTTTCAAATTAGATAATAGGTATACGTAATTCTATTGCGTTTGTATCACTCCAAAGGTGCGGACGGGATTACATATTTGTGGCGCTCTAGAAAGGCAAGTGATAATCGAAGCGTAACACACTAGCTTCAGTTCATGAACTATGTTATGATTTCAATGTAAATGTCAGCGCGTATAGATACAATATTACATAATTGTGTACAAAAAATTATAGCGTATAAACATTTTCCTATTAGATGATTATACATATATTAGCATTATTTGACAGGTTACTTTTCATTGAGATGTTTTTCAATGTGATTCAGATAGACTTAGCTTTCTATTGCAATATTAATGATTTTATTATCTTTGTTTTCGATATTCCTAACATTATCATAAGTAAACATACGTTTCCTGAAATTTGAATTATTTATAAATTCGCAAGATGAGTTATCATATTTTTTTATCTAAATATATTTGATCTTCCTCGTAAGAGATTTTTTAAAATTATATGTAAAATCTGGAAATAATTAAAATTGTCATATTTAATTTTGTTACGTCATATAAATCGTAAATAAACTTATTACGCTTACATGGAATTGCTAAAATTTACATATTATAAAATACATTGTATACCTTTTCAAAATATATTTATCAAGAAAATTAAATAAAAAACAAAGGATTAATCAAAGTAATCAAATCTTATATTATATTATATTATATTATATTATATTCGTAATATCATATATATATTTGTTGACATATAATTATTATTATTTTATTTTCAAAAGACACAAAGAATTTTTTGTTCTTTATTCAGTTAACGACTACATTACACAATTTTTACTTGAAATCTCGCTAGCAACTAATATAAAGTTAACATGATATCTTTTTGTTAACAATTAGTGTACTAATTTTCTAGCAAACTATAGAAAACTAGCAGCTAATAGAATATAATTCTATACATTATAGTTGTTTAACTGCTGTATACTTTGCTAAAAAAATGTTTAAATATAATTTATGTTATTTGAGCTGCCAGTCTTTTAACTTTCTAATTCGTTAGAAAATAAATACTTTAGCTATTATTAAAAAATCATGTAATTATGTAAATTTTGCTTAAGTCTGGATATGTGATGCATGTATCTCAAGAAGATGCTTCTGCTCTCAAACGTGTCGCACGCATTTTTCTGAGATGTGCTAATTTTCGTTTGTTCCTAGCGGCGTTCGCCTTCGCCTCGTTCGCAGCAGCATTGGCTTTGGCTGCTGCGCGATTCGTGTTTACAAGATCTTGCCGGGCGCTTTGCAATTGATTTGATAGCTCGTTCACTCGCCTCTTGGCCGCTTCCAGCAACTCTTCTTTTTCATGCAACGATCTCTGTGCCCCGTTTGCAACTGCCTGCGCATTTGCCGCATTCGATTTGGCTGTATGCACTGCGTTCACTAATGTCTTCAGCTGCATTTTCAAAAAATTGTTAGCATCAAGTTACGCAGAATCAATATTTTATATAAATGTCATTGTTCATACTAATGTTATCTATTATTATTTGCATTTATAATTTGTATTGTGATTTATATACCTCTGTATATAATCTTGATTTTTACCTATCATATACCTGATCTTGTGATTGCCGCGCCGCTTGCACTGCGACATTGACGTTAACCTGCGCTTGTTGCAAGGAAGATGTTTCTTCTTGAACCACCGATCTTGCTTCCTTCACTTCCTCTCGCAGCTGCTCGACCATCGCTTCCTTGCCCGATAAGGCCGCCTCGGCGGCTTTCGCAGCTTGAACCGCCTTCTCTGCCAGTTGAGCCTTTACCTATTACGTATACACGTGGCGTATTTCCTTAACAAAATACCGATCTTAACACACTTGCACGAATATAATTAACAGTACAGATTGCTCGCGTGCCGCTAATTCTACAACAATTTTACGCGCAAGGTTTTATCAGATAATATTTATACTGGTGTAGATCTGACAGAAATAAAGAAAAAAATTAGAAGTGCTTTTCTCTTAATTTGTTAGTTATCTCATACATAAAAAAATATTAAACGAGCAAAATGAAATATTTCAAAGTCACCTCGAAATGTTGTTCAATGTTTAAACAAAACATGTTTTTGAATGTCATAATTGTGTACCTGACGAGCTGCTTGCTGACCAGCGATATTCTGTGCTTCGGACGCAGCTTTTGCTTCCTGCGCTGCTTTCTGTGCAATGTTGCTTGTTTTTTCAACAGCTTTCTTCTGTAAAGTATTTGACAAAACACCGTGACAATTAGCACCTTCAGTATGACGCATATTTCTTTGATTCTGTAATTGTTTAAGAAAACAATACTATTACTTAATCAACATGTCTTCTGTCACTGCTTTAAGCATAAATGCATTTTTATTGTGATTCTTCTATTCAAGTGTTGCATATTAATTGTTCTGATATTGTTATTATAATTATATTAGGTATTAAAAATTAAACAAAAAAAATCCTTTTAAATTTGATAAAGTTTCTTTATTAATAATTCAAGAATCAATACACATTAATAAATTAATTATAAAACAAGCCATTACATATGCATTTCACTCAACGTGAAACACATGCAAACACGAATGTAAAATTGACAGAAATTAATACGAATATCTACGCATTTTTATTACAATTAAAAAAATTCAAGAATAAAATTTTCATAAATGAATTTAACTTTAATGGTTACAGATACGTGTTGCTTTTTAAATAGGAAACCAAAGTTTTAAGATTAATTATCAATTGTACACATTACCCTAATGTCAAATATTATAAGCAACAGTAATACTACTGATAACTTGAAAATTTAACTTCTTAAAATCTGCTAGCAAAATATATTAAAACTCACTGTATTAACTGGGATTTTATGAATCCGTCCACAATCGGATATTCCAAATATCAGTATGACTAAAGAACACATTTTGGTTAGAATAGAAAAATGTCAATTACCTTTTAATACAAAATTATCAATAATTAATCATATCATCTGCACTTACTGATGTAAAGAACATGGAAAGTATTCATTATGATAAATGAATGCACGTCGCACCCATTAAAAAATCATAATAAATCATATAAATTCGCACCGTGTTTTGATTTTATGACAGAAACGGATGAATGGTTTTAGTGCTTTTTTTTATAATTTGATGATATATAGTTACGTGAAGTTACGTATTATTCTGCGATTTTTTAAGGCATGTTCCGCTTGCAGCGCATCTAAATATCAATTATCTTTGTTTAATATTTAAGATAAGAATAAACTGATGCTTGAGCATGAAATTCGAGAGAATGTGCCTTTAAAAATAAAAAAATCCTTTTTGTATGTATATATACACATTGTATGTGTATGTACATACCATACGCGCGCATACACATATGTACAGACAAAATATGTTAAAAAATAATTCAGTACAATTATAAAGTGTCTCGAAAATCATATGTATTTTCTGTAAAATACGATCACGTACTTGACCGATATTTTTAGAAGTGCAACAACTAAGTGAAAATTCGCCTGAATTGTACTCTTTTTACATTACACTTTTATGTAATCGACACTTCCTTAATTCTAGAGAGACGACAAATTGCACAGATAGAACCGATTTATAATCATGCAATATATAATCTGTTCAATGTGTACATTAGATTATTTATATACATTAGATTAATTTTTATACAAAATTATAAGAAAAAAGATCCAAATTTCAAAAGTTTTTCGAAAAAAACTCACACAATGCATTTTTCTTGATATAGTAGAATTGCGTGTATTATGTACCGTAAGAGGGTAGACAAATAAAATAAAAAAATAATCAATTAATTTTTTTTGTTAATGCATAATATTTTACTCTATTTTTGGTAAAATAAATCTTAATAAAATTGCTCATTTCTATTTATGTTTACTTAATAAAATTATTAATAATATCAAACTCTCTTGGTTTTTTAAATCGTAATTATAATAATTTAAACATATAATGTAATATTTGCTATGATAATTGGAAAAAATGAATTAATTAGAAATTTAAAATTTATCTCACGGATATATCATCGAAGAAAAACTACATACAGAGAGAGAGAGAGAAAGAGAGAGAGAGGGGGGAGGGAGAGGAAAGATAAACGGAAAATGAAAAATAATAGGCGGAACAGAATATTATAGCAGGGAGCTATTTTGAACGTCTGCAATCCCTTCCGTGGCTATAGATTGGCTAGATCAGACAGGACTATAAGAGCTCCGATGAAGGAGTAACTGGTATCAGTTCTCGACTCTTTCTTTAGGCAAGGACAGCTCCTATTCTCTAAGCGCTTGACTAACACGACTGAAGTAAGTATAGAAATTCCTTACTACTAATTTCAAGAAATCTCTCTCCTGTCCCTGTGATTACTTTAAAAATAATATAAAAATCAAAACAAATATTGATGCAAAAATAATTTTTAAAAATAGAAAATGTTTTTTTTCTAAAATTAAAATATTCAACGTAAATAGACAATTAAAAACTTAAATGTACAATTGTTAATAAAATGTAGTAAATAAACTTCTTGTTTTTTAATTTAAATTTTTTATTTGAATTTTTAAACACAGTATTATTCGATAAAATATGCAGTTTTAAATTTTTTTGATATATATAATAAATAATGTTTAGTTTTTATAATATAAAAGTTTATTTTAAATTACTTATATTTTATAATTAATAAATTTTATGAAACTTACTAAAATAATAAATATCTATGTCTAATGCGAATAATTATAATTTTGATGCAATATTTATAATTAACGTATATGGTACATTCGGTGCGTTTACACATAAATATATTTATCTATAATATCTACGTGAAAATTGTTTTTTCTTATATCTACCATGCCGCTACACCATAAATCATAATCTGTTTCTAATTTGATTTGAAAAGTGTATACAGGATTTGAACACGTCTCTTTAAATTTTGATGAATATATTTTCGTGACATTATTGGTACATTTTTGTTTCATTTATTTTGCATATATAGGCAAAATTGTGTTTTATTCGACAGATTATGAGTGAAACATAAATTTTTACAAATTTCATATATATATTACTTTATATATACATATGACACTATATATTCAGACATCTTACACATATTTCTATATTATATATTTAGATATATATTTTGTCACTTAATATCAAATTTAAACCAAGTAGATAAATGTAGAACATTGTTAATAATTATTTCTTCTCCTCTCTCTCTCTCTTTCTTACTAACCACACAACTTTTATATGTGCTCGCATGTGTGTGTTTTCTGAATAAGAGGAAAAAAGAAACAGGGAAATAATTCATAAAAAAGAGTTACAAGGTTCTTTTTTTTTAACTTTACGTTTTAATTTTACGTGCTAGATCTATGTTATCAAAATGCATCGATTTTTAATTTATGCAAAATGTGTCGTCATCAAAATATCCCCGTAACATAGAAATATATACTTTACTACAAGGACGGAAGGATAAAAAATGTCAGCATTGACATAGATACACGCAAACACGTATATGTTTATAATTTCTAGAGAGAGAGAGAGAGAGAGAGAGATGATCTATCATCTCAAAGTTTGATTAATCAAACTTTATATAAAAATATAATTTATTTGTATATACCCATAAATATCATATTTCAGATATTGTAATATCTTTAAATTTATATTGTGATAAACATAAGAATTTAATATATTAATTTGATGTTATAAAATTCACTGTCTATATACATAATCTATATACGTGTGTGTTTGTGTTTTTAAACTTTATATAATTACAATAAATATTTAAATTCTTATCATGGTTATAAACAGCTTCAATTATAACTATGTGCCCTGTGGTTATTATATTTGCATTGATAGACTTGGATCTTGTATGAGATAAGTGGTACAAGTGACGTACACGAGCGCTTTTCAGAGCGAGACGAAACCGGGTGTACAATTTTAAGCGATTGTGATGCATAGTTGCGACACTTGGAAAGGTGGTATATGCGTCACGGGCGCGTGTGTCACAGTACAATATACGAATTCGAGTCCTGTTCAAAGTTGTTGCTCGTTCAACTATTATACAACAAATCGCAAATGCGATTTCTATATCTAACTTAGACTAATCAACAGATTTCAACCAATATTTGCTTTTTGACATAAAAAGAAATTAAAATAAAAAAATTAACTTTCTTACATTGTCGATTGATAACTATTATATAATTACATAGCCGTGGATAAATCTAAACTTTAAATTCTAAAGTCTTAGATTGTTAAAAGGACTATCACCAAGTAAAAGTTATAATTTAAATTAATTTAATACACTTGTATACTACAAATATTTTAAAAGTATTTCTAAAAAGGCACATTTACGAAGTGAATTGTTGGCATAGCGATCGCTTTTGCGGTTTTTACGCATCGCTTTCTCCGATCACTCGATCTATTCAGCATTTTGCGGCACGTTCAATTGTTATATAACACTGAATAAGAGAATACCGTATCATTGTCACGAATGGTCCTCTTTTTTTTCATGTCTAAATCGATTCGAAGCAATCAATCAAGCTTATCGTGCAATCATGCACGTCGTTGACAAAACTCAGAAGAAATTTTTATTTTTAAAAAGCAAGTATTACGAAGAAAAACCAATTACGAAACCAGACTAACATAAACAGTATCTGAAAGCGCCGCCGCGCTTTTGTGATTTCTAAAGATTTTGATATAATTATATTTTCTCAAGAGAGAGAGAGAGAAAAAAATCTCTTTTAAAGAAATAATTTTATCTCTTATTAAATAAAAAAAAATATATAAAGTTCTCTCAAAATTAAATACTAATAAAAAATTTGTTTAAAAAGGTTATAAAAGTGCCTATTTTTGTTCCTGGAATGGCAAGTAAAAACGTATGTTTTTTTTTTAGTTCTGAAAATAGTCTTAAAAAAGTTTTGGTTTACTAACTTAATGTTAATTATTAAATTAGTTTATTAAATTAGTATTATTAGAAGTGTAATTTAGTTTTAAGGGTTTCGCAAGAGATGAAAATATTTTGATTAAGGTTCATTATTTTGTTTAAATTAATCAGTTTAAAAAAAAGATTTCTGAAAAAGATTGAAAAAAAGAAAGATTTAATTTTTTGTTTGTTTACAGATATTAATCACGATAAAAATTTAACGTTTCAACATGAAGATTCTATTGGTATTTTTGGCTTACCTGACTCTTGTGTACTGCGGCAAAACTAAAAAGCAGATTCTTGATCATGAAATAGTCGACGGTTATGAATTTGAGTACACAGGTGCAACCGGACCAGAGTTAGGCTTGATTGAATCAAATTCTCATTATGTCGAAGCTGCGCCCGTCATAGCAGTTGCTGCGAGTGGTCATCGTTCGAGTCATCTTGTGCGACCTGGTTACAGCGTGGGTGGTCCTTTGGCCAGTATAGCTAAAGGTTAGATATGGCTTTTGTGTCAATTGACCAATTACTCTTCGTTTTATCTCGTTATGATAAAAACTATAATAAATATATAAAAAAAAGAGGGACTAGAAACAAGTATAAGAAAAGGAAGTTTTTAAATTTTAATTACTTATATATTATGTGTCTTAATTGCAGGAGCTGCTGATCAGGCTAAGACACAATTGAATCAACAACCATCGGCTGCTGGACAGGCAGCGTATGTAGCGAAGAACACTTTGGCTCAAGCGGCGGCACAATCCGCGGCAACAGCGGCCGCAGCTTTAGCCGGCAAACAAATTATTGTGATGGGTCTGGAACAACAGTCAAGGGATGCGTACGTTGCAGTGGACGGTGAAAAGCAACAATTGCAACAAGCTCAACGGGCAGCCGCGGCAGCAAAAAATTCAGCGCAACAGGCGATGCATCAAGTGCAGGTGATCACCACGGCGTTGAACGCGGCTCAGGCGACTGCCGAACATGCTCAACAAGCTGCAGCTGAGGCTGCAGCCGAATTGGCGGCGCAAACGACGATGGTGGGCCAGGCTAAGGCACGTGCTGAAACGATTGCCGAACAACTCGCGGCAGCACGTTTGGATTTCGAGACGACGCAGGCAGCAGCGCAAAAAGCCGCCAACGCTGCTCAAGCTGCACAAAGCAATGCCGCGGCCGCGGCCGCGCATGCAGCTCATACTGCAGCTGCGACTGTAGCAGCAAATCACCAAGCCTCTTTGCACGACGACGAGCCGCTCGGTTTGGTGAACTCCCTACCCTTAGATGCCTACGATTATAAGGGTTATCATCTTTGAAAAAAAGAGAGATAGAGAGATAGAAAGAAGAAAAAGAAGAAAAGAGGGGGAGAGAGAGAGAGAGAGAGAGAGAGACTCGATCATGACTCACAAACCACGCTCATGTTTCCTCTTTTCGCAAGTATACTTGCTCGGCAACATGGAGCGCAACACGGCGCTCTGGCCATCTTTTTTTCTATTCTATGAGACTCGACAACCATACGTCACTATGTTTATGTGCCAAATTGCACAATAAAATATTGTTGCCATTCTGATCACTCTCTTTGTATGTATTTTCATTTTCTTACTTTCTCCAAAAAAATATCTAATTCTATTCTTCGGTCGCTTTGACTTTCTGATGATTATAATCATATAATTTATATAATTAATAATTATCTATCAAATTCAAAGCTTTTTTATATAATACATATTAAATCACAAAAACGTTTGTAGATCAGTTATTTAATATTGGCAATGAACGAGCTCTTTGACAAATTAAATTACAAGTATCAGTAAAAACTTACCTGTTCAAAAAAAGGTAAAGAAGGCGCTAAACATAGATATGTATTTCTAAAACAAAGCTTTACTAAATTGAAAAATAAAATCCAAGCAATACTGTTTTTATTAATTTACATGTGATAAAATCTAAGTGATATGTATTTTTGTAATGTCATAAAATTGCGTTAGCAATTCAAATAATATTAACATAAAATACATTACTTTTTTTAAAAACTTACCTTTTTTAAAAAAGTAAAAGAGAGTGTTAACTATAGGTACACGTTAAACAAGAAACCGTTATATCAAATTAAAAATAAAATCGTATATAAATTGTAATATCTTTATTTTAAAAATAATATTTCTTATTATTCCTCAGAAAACATAAACCATCGTCTTCATATTTTTATTTCTTCAAAAATATTCTTACTGATTCTGTCTTCCTATCCCAATTTTTTCACATTTATATATGTCTAGCTGTATTTAAAAGATGTAATTAAAATTAGATGCTTCTTGATAATCTTTTTTAAAGTACATAGTTTACAGAGAATATACTTTCTTCTATAACAAAAGCCGTATAATGTTGATATATAAAAGGAGAAAATTTTATATTAAGTTTTAATACAATTTTAAATTACATTTTACTATGTCTTCTATTTTCGTATGGACTCTCACAACAATATTCCGCGACATAACTTTTACTATGGTAATACTAATTTTATCACATAAATGAAGTAATTTTTATTAAATCCAGTGCTTAAACCATGGAAAAAGACAATTTTTACTATGGTACGCAAACAATATTTGCTAGGTTATTTATATATTCTATATCTTTACAATACTAACTTTTATTCAACAAGGTGTGACTTGTAATCAAAAATTTTTACTATGAAAAAGTATAAATATTACTTTACATTGTTTAAAAAAAAATAGTTACAGCATTTAAACTTATAATTACACGATATATGATTCGCAGTTTCTAACACATTATAGTAATTTTAAATATAAAATTTTCTCCGTGTACGCGCGAGTATATCTATATTTCCTAAAAAAATCATATCATAAAAATGAAAAGGTCAAGCCATGTTCAAAAAAGGATCCTCTCAAAAACTTAGATCTTTAAATCTTTAAATGATTATCTAATCAAAAAAAGATCCTCAAAAATTTAAACCTTTAAAACTTTAAATGATTTTCTAATAATATTAAAATTTTTTAAAATTAAATGATTATGTATAATAATCAATATCAATATTAATTTTCAATTAAGATGATAAGACTCGCACAACGTCAATTTTTTGACACCACGACTTTATCAGCAGTGTCGATAATGTAATACGTAGTTCTCATCATTCTATAAAATTGACGTTGGTGTCGCCAGTGTACGGGAGCTTCCAAACGTCGAGAAAGACCGGGAATGGTTGTTCTCAAGTTTCTCTTTGCGGTTCAGCCATTATTGGCTGCATTCAGCAGAAAAAGCTTTGCAACTGTTGTAAAATTCTTTAATACGATTGGTTCTTGTTTTTAATTCTTCATAAAGCTAAATGTATAAACCATTCGTATTAAAAAATTTTACAACAGTTGCAAAGTTACTTTCTCTGCTAAATGCAGTCATTGAGATAGATGTGAAATAAAAATAGTATGACACAAACGGCGCTGATAGCGTGCTTCTCCAATATACTCCTGGGAGTCAATTCTCTATCTTGAAACAAGATACAATGACAAAAATGAGCAAATTTACTACACAATTAACCGCAAAAAAAATTGTAAATATTCGCTCACTGTTGTAATTTTTACTTTGTTTCGAGATAATAGAATCGATCTCTTAATTTTTACGGAGTGTAGAACGTGCAAAATATTGAAAATGGCTATATTGACAGTGTTTTTGAATGCACTCGACCATTTTATATTCCATATGGAGTATACATATCCCACGTAGTACAGTAGCGCTTAAAAAGCGCGTATGCAGGTGCATTACTTTAGCAGCTTTTTAGCGCTTGAAAAGCGCTTTCAAAATCCACTATGAAAAGCGCATTATAAGCGCATATAATCAGCACAGAATAAATATAGTTTTATAGCACATTTACTGCACTTTTCATGTCGTATAACAGTATCTGCAATATATGACTTGAAATAAACCGAGTTATTCGCATGCAATATATAAAAGTGCATAATTAACAGCAGTTTTGAGAGGTGCAATCTGAACAGCGCTTCGAAAGCGCTTTACACGCGCTGGTGTGCTACGTGGGATGTATATACCATATGTAAGTGATATATATTATATACATATATGGTACATACATAGACATAATATGTGTTATACAGCTATATCAGTTATATGTATACCATTTAATAAACGTGTATACAAACAATCTTATTTTTACTGGGTGAAGAATATAAAATCAAGGCCACACAAAAGAAATTTAAGTGGTAAGATGTAAGAAATAAGGAAATGAACGTATTTAATTGGTTATTGCTTACATTATGGCCTTACGGTCTTTTCTGTGATTGGCTAATTCGCTTATTGTTTACGTTTTACTTGAATTTTTTTGTGTACCATGGCCTTTACTGTCTTTTCTATTGTTGACCGATTCGCTTACTGCTTACATCTTACTGCCTTACGTTTTTCTATATGTTTCCAGCTTAATACTTTCTATCTTTTAAATAAAACTGTGTGACATGTAAAAACGTAAATCAATCTTTTCCTTTAGTCCTAATAGTCCTTAAAACAAAAAGAACTGTAACTGCATGTTACTAATTATTTAAATTATTATTATAAGTAGCTTTTCTTACCTTGCTAAAATACATAATTTTGTAATAACGTAAAGATTTCGTTTTTTCGAAATATAAAATTTGTTTGCTTTTCCTTTCTATATTCTACAGACTTGTTTGACATTAATATTTTGTTACAAAAAGAAAAAATGTAAGACAACTTTTTACGCCATTTTGTATATTGCACCGAGTTGCATCAATCTCGACACAATTCCAACGGTCGACAGCCTATGGTTTGTTCAAATTTACGTTTCGTCATGTGCAATTAGTCGAGGACGATGCGTTCTTAGGGTGATAATGGAAGGGGTTTAACTTCTCGTATTACGCGTGGTTTAGACTTTCTCTTTCCCTATGTGACATAATGTCTCGTATACCTAGCACGGCCTCACAGTGGAAACTGGTCCAGTTTCGTTCATATTCAAACTCAGTGCGGTCATGTCGGGAAATCGCAGTAATCTTTCTATACTTCTGTTCGCCGCTATGGCAGCCCTCCATTCGGTGATTATACAGGTAAATCTCGGTTTTTATTCGGTAGAAATAGTTTTACTTTATTAAAAAGTGCTTTTTATTACATTCATAGCTTTTTTATATGTTATGAATTATATTTAATAGACAAATAGCCCTAAAATCTAATTAGTATATATTATATATACTTGCTTGTATTATATATGTATTTTCCTGACATTAATAAAATAGTTGTGCTATGTATTATAAAGAATCGTAACTGAGAATTGTATTATTTCTGCAACATATTTTATGGAGGATTTATAAATAGAATATTGTATAAGAACTATATAATAAGCATTTTTTTCAAAGAATTATAAATGATATAAGAAGTTGAATTGCACACCTCTCTCTCTCTCTCTCTCCCTCTCTTTTAATAATTTGTCTATAAAAATAAGTCATTAAGTATAGTGTAGATTGATATTTTTTTATCCTACATGATTTAATTAAATTTTAATAAATAATTAAAATTTTGTAATGCTCGCGCGCGATGATATATATTTGTATTGTATACTACACACACACACACACACACACACACACACA